TCAGAAGTGGTCTCGGCATGCCGGCAGTGCTCCCCGCCAGCTGAGGGGTCACCCTTGTTTCTGTCACAAAATAAATCGAGGGGCTCTGCTTCTCCAGTCTTGCCACGTAAACTCACCCCAGTCGTTTGGTTTTAAAGGCCCTACAAGGCGTGCTGATGATACGAAACCGAGCTAGGTAAGAGAGCAGCCTGGGTTACAGTGCTTGAAAGGGACCTGGGGTGAAGAACACGCAGAGTAATTCTTCTTTTGTAGGAAAACAACCACCACCGCGAGCTGAGAAGTGGAGTGAAGCTGGCTGAGCGTGGTGCACCAGCCCTCTGAAGTAGCCTGAGGGTGAATTGGTGACAGGGCAGTTTCTGGTGTTTGTGAAGTAGCGCTAACCCCCTGTGCTTTTTAGGATACTACACCCGACGAACTGCTGTCTGCCGTTATGACAGCTGTCCTTCAAGATGTCAATCTTCGTCCTGAGGCCCTGGGAGATATCTGTGTTGGTGAGTGAACAACCTCCACCTGGAGTTGAAACGCCTGGTCTGGGTGGCTGTCTGGGACAGGCTGCTCCTGGTGTCCCCTGGGGCACCTGCAAGTGTCATGGGGTTGGAAGGGGCTCGCACGTAGCGCTAGGGTTATGAAATCAGTACATCCTTCACGACTGTTCCGTCAGACGGTGGGGCTTTGGTCTGGGTGCCGGATGGTATCAAGCCGTGGCGATGTTAACATCCCTTCGATGCCCTCAGCAAATAGCGAGGGAAATGCAACCGGCTGACTGGAATCGTATCTTTGCATTCAGGAAACGTGCTGCAGCCTGGAGCTGGTGCTTTCATTGCAAGAGTTGCGCAGTTTCTGAGGTAAAATCTCAACCAGATCGAGGTTCCTCCCCCCCTTCTCAGGCCTTGGGCTACGGAGCAGCACTGGGTCAGCATGCGCTCCTCAGAAGTTACGGCAAATCACCTTTTGCCTGGGAATTAGACTTTGACTGAGCGGTTGGAGAACCCTGACGGGGTTTGGAGAACCCTGCTGGTAAAGGACAGGGAGGCAGAGGTGAGGCCAGTTAATCTGTGCCGCCTGTGTTGAGCCTCTGAAGGGGAGATCTTGCTTTGTGGGCTCCCAGCTGTACCTGCTGCTTCTCCATACTGCAAGGCTGCGCTTTGCTCTACGTGAGCCTGAAACCATGGACTTCTCTCAGGTCTTTCTGTTCAATTCCTGGTGTTGGTGGTCAATGGCCCCATACTGAGCTGGATCCCAGCTTCCAAATATTCCAACCAGCGCCTATTGCCAAGTGGTGTTTGCTTTTGTAGATCAGTGTACAGCCACCACTTTGCAGAGGTGCAGACAGAGCCCACCAGTAATTATGAATATCGCAGGGCTTTTCAGTATTTCTGGCCCTGATCAGAGCTTGGGAACTAGGCATGAGAGGGCCCTGCTTACAGAGGACCTTATGAAGCCCCAGAGCTGTGGGGAGACAGCACTGCAAGCCGCTTGCAGATCGAGTTTGGAAGTTATCCATGAACTTTGCTTTCTCTTGGTGCGGGGCCAAATAGGTCAACAAACGTATAAAGGGATCTGTCTTGAACTTGAGGGTTAAAGTTTAATCAGGTGGTTTAATGCTTTCCTTAGAGGTTTGGTTTGTTGCGTGGCTTTTGTCGCTGAGTCTCTGCCAACACTATCTTATTTTCTAGTGGTATTCCAGAGACGGTGCCGTGCTCAAGCGTAAACCGGCAGTGCTCCTCCGGGCTACAAGCCATTATCAATATAGCAGGTAAGTGTTATGGGCACTCGGATCGGAGTCAATGCCTGCCCAACACCAAGAACTCATTTCTTCTGTCCTCAAATCTCTCTGAGCAGTAAAAATAGTGATAATGTCTTCTGCTGTTAGGAATTTTCAGTGTGTTGTTGGTTGAGTGCTTTTCTATCCTCGAGTGGCTGAGTTTACCCCTAGAGAAGTAACTTGGTTTTCTGAGGGTAAGTTCAACCATCGCTTCCACATCAGGCAGCTCCTGAAGGGTCCCTCTGGTCCTCTCTGGCTGCACGTCAGGCCATGGGTGGTCTTCAGCCCCATCGGCTCCTTGACCTGGCTCGCGTTCTGGCAGGCGGGAGGGCGGTGGGAATGCACCTTCCAGCTGTAGTGGGTGCCTCAGGTGGTGGTGAAACTGCAGCTGGAAGGGAAGTGCTTTTGCTCCTACTGACAGTGAGCATGTTTATGCGCTGCTGTTACAGGTGGCATCCGAAATGGATCGTATGACATCGGCTTGGCCTGTGGGTAAGCATCTCTTTTTATGGCACTTGCTTAGGCTGCCTGAAAGTAGTGCTCAGTCCCTCTGCAGTAGCTCTTGTGTGAGGCATTAGAAACCCCTTCCAAGCAGATCTGTCCCCACCCCGAAGGAAATAGGCAGTGTCCTCGTCTGACAAATGGGTGAATAAACTCTAAAATTAGGACCTGGATTTAAGTGGTGGCTGCAGATGTAATTTGTGTATTTCCAGAGGCTGCTGAGTTCTTTTGCAGAAGATCAGGTCATCTTACAGGGTCTGAGAGAGGGTGCTTGAAAATCCTTTAATTCCCCTGGAAGCTTTGGCCTTGGTGACGTGTCTGCTGGGCTTGCAGTAAGAGTCCGAGTGTCTCTTACAGGCAGGCAAAAAGCCTGATTTATTAGGGCCCCCTGGCTCCGCTGTAGGATACCGCTTGGTGCAGAGCTCTGACGGCCTGAGTGAGCCTGCCATGATTAGCTTTTTAACTAATCTCCAATTAATTGGTGTCTTAGAATGCCATCAGCTGTCTTGAATAAAGAAATTAATGCTCTACCCAGGCTAATAACTGTTCTGCAGACTTACAGGAGATGTTCTTCTGCAGTGGGCGAGTGTGCTGTTCTTCACTTCTGTCCTAACATCATAAGAAGTGTTTATTTTTAAGAGGATTACGTAAATGTGAAGTTGGCTTTAGAGAAATACTAGTGACCACATAGGCATTCACTTTTGAAGAACAAGTGACAAAAAAAGTATTCAGTAAACCCGAGGCTAAAATACTGGGTTTTTCTTTTTCTGTACCTTGGTAACTCGAAGTTTTCCTTGAATTATTACTGTATACAGTCAGCTGGTAGTCCTTAGGAAAGTATTTATATTTACAGCTTCTCAACACCTGCATGTACTTGGTTGAGCAAGATCTGATGCTGAGAATGCCCTTCTTGGACTGCCGCGAAATAAACAGCTCAGCACGGCAGGCGTGTTCCTCTGACGTAGGCTGAGCACTTGGTGTTCATGGGGAATGCTTCTGCTCGAACACATGATGCTTTCCACTCTTTCACGTTAACACGGTTGTTTCAAGAAGTTGCTTGGACGTGTCCACCAAAGTGATGGGCTTAAAGGGACTGGAAGGCTCGCAGGGTTTCGGATCCAGCCTTTGCACCTGTGGGCATGCAAGCCACCTCGTTTCACTGTGGGAAGTTTTCCGGCCTCTACCCTGCGGGATTCTCCACAAAGGCATAAAATCCTTCAGTTACAAATAGCTTTTGTGAGTTGGGTTTATCCCAAGTCATGCTTTTCCCCCGAGTGGACTCGCCCACTCTGTAGGTGGAGGGATACTGGAGGCCAACACAAAACACAGTAGCTGTGGTTTGCTGTTACTTAAAACCTGATTCTGTACCTTCCTTCAGGGAATAGATGCGCTGAAGTCGAGTAATGCAGTGTCCCCTGTTAGAGTTAGTTTAAATTCCTGATAGTACTTACTATAAGATGCTTGAGGAGGAGCCTTCTCTTCCACTTGTCTTACATTTTCCAGGAATGGTTTCTTTGTTATTTACTCATCGTGAGTGTATTTGTGTGGTGCAGAGTAGAATTCAAACCCTCTCCCCATTGTAGGCCCCGTGGTCTAGGCTGACTTTACAAAAGCTCGCTAGTCTGGAGTGATGGCTCTGTATTTGTGCAGTAAAATTGGGTATCTTCAATCTGTTAATTCGTTTGTAGGTGAAAGGCTGCATGGGGATCCTCTGGGATCTATGTCTTAAATCCTTTCTTTTAAGAAATACGAATGGTGTAATGGTTTGCTTCATACTTACTATACTGCCAACCAGTTGTTTAGCTCTAAGCGGCATTCTTACGGCTGTTGACAGTCTTGCTGGAAACTCCAGTCCTAGGACTTTAGGTTTCCCATTATGTTTGAGGACAGAAGTGCCAGAACCATTAGCGGTTCCTTCCTGGAAACAAGAGAAATTAACTGTTGACATCGGTGTCCTGTGCTTAGTGAAACAAGGACCAATTTAATCTCGCAATCTGTTTTCATTTCATGGTAATTCGTACACTGATGACTGAAGAGCTTCTGCCTCAGCCAGTTCTTAATAATTAGCTGCATTTCTGTAGGGCGATGGGAAAGCACGTTGTCAGGGGACTGAGGTTTGATCAGTGCTAACTGAGCAATTACCGCAAATGTAGTGGGAAAACACTGGTAGCAAATGCAAATTTTTCTTCTGTTTAGCGTGGAGACCATGTCCCTCAGAAGTGGGAATAACCCTGGTGACATCAGTTCCAGTATCATGGAAAACAGCAAAGCTCGAGATTGCCTTATTCCTATGGGGTAAGTGCTTCCTCTTCCCAAAGGTCTTCTGGATGGTCTGGCTCCTCAGCGACTGGGCTGTTTTGGATCCGTCTGAATGCAGAGAGCTTGGATCCGCGTGTGTTGGCATCCTCCTTGGTTGTGGCAGAAGATGAATTACGCGAAATGGGGAGAAGATCAGCGACTCTGATGAAAGATTTCCTCGTCTTATGTCTTAAGCTCAGTGGCTTAATGAGCAATGAGAGTGGATTTGAACCTTTTTTTGGTCCTAGATTTGATTCAAGATTTGCTTTTGCCAAGCAGTTCTAGGCTGAGAAGGCAGCAGTTAGCTTTGAGACTAAAGCCAGTGCTTGCACCTTGTGTTGACGTAGTAGAAGCCAACTGCGGCTCCATTAGATGAGTCGTTGGACTAATTGTGGGTTGTTTTTTTTTTTCCCCAGAATAACCTCAGAAAATGTGGCAGAGAAGTTTGGGGTTTCCCGAAAGAAGCAAGATGCCTTTGCCTTCGCTTCCCAACAAAAGTAAATGGTTTTTTGGGGTTTTTTTACCCTTTTGGTTACAGAATAAATGCAGATAGGAAGCGCATTGCTGCTTCCCAGGAGTGGTTAAGTGCAGCCTTCGTGATGCCTTCCTAACCTAAATAGTGAGTAAAGAAGCTTGAGATGGTCGGAGCAAAGGCCAGTGTTGTATGATAAGGAAAGCTGCGCCCGGAGCCGTACTGGGGACTGTGCGACTAATCCCGCGCAGGTATCGCCGGGCACGCAAGCCTTGAGCAGCGAGCGCCCCTGTGCTTGTCAGCATCCAAAGGATGCAACCTCCATGAGGTTTCTGAAACGAACGTACGGGTCAATATTTTCATCGTGGCTTTGGCTCGGTGTCATTTGAGACTGAACGTGGGAGTGGCAGCGGAAGGAACCTTTCCTCAGAGGGAATATTTATATGTAGCTGCTTCTAGAGAACTGCCAAGCCTATGAGAAGAGCGGCGTGTCTTCGCTGCAGGTGTTGGGCTCCAAGGGAGTCCAGTTGTACCTCTAACAACCTTCCTCTTGGGAGTAAGTAAACTGACCCCCGGAATCCATGGAGCTGTACTGGCAGGCCGACAGCAGGCAATACCTTAAAGTTGCTGCTGTCGAAGAGTTAAACTGACTTTCAGAGCTCTGTTTAAGCACTGCCCCGGTCCAATTATTTATCTAATACAGGAAGCCACTGCACAGGCCAGTTAACCTTTAAATTCTGGCCCTGCTTCTAGGGAACTTGGCATGCCAGCCTTTCTCACTGACATGGAACTGATAGCGCAAAAGGGTATGGGAACGCGATCCTCACCTCGCACGTGAGGAAAGGGGCGATTTTTTGGCCTCGGTCTCAGGATGTCTGCAGAGTTACCGATCTGTCCTTCAGCACTTCGCCCTAACTCTCGCTTACCTGGGAGTATTAAATATTTTCATTTCATTAGTAAAAGTGTAAAGCGATGAGGGGGTAAAACAAGCTTTCAGTCTCCAATTTGGATTCCCTGTAAAGGGTGCTCTGCTGCTGGAAGGCAAATCTACATCAGCCCTGCTGTGGAGGCTTTGAAATATCTTGATATGCAAGATTAAAACGGTGTGTCCTGAGCTAATTCTAATCTAGGTAATTGCATTCTGCCTACTTACATCAATCCAGTCATGCCAGTTGTTTCCTTCTGCTAATGCTGCTGTCTCGGGGACCAGATCCTATCTTCACTGCACCTTTACTGCTAAATTAAGTGATGCCCTTCTGCATCGTCACACTGAACTGTGCAACATAAATTGCAGTTGGTTTGGGTTGAAAGGTTACATTTAAATACCAGAAGGTTATACCCGAAGTCTTTGGTCTAAAGCTCAACTTGTCTCTAGTAGGGCAGAACTAGGAATGAGTGAAACTTTAGCTGTTCCTTAACTTGTCAGAAATTATTGGCATTATGTAGAGGCTCAGCCCACTTGCCCTGTTTAAACTCAAAAATCAGAACTGATGTTTGAACGTCAGGATTCATTTATCTCCTTACAGTTGTGGTGTGACTGTACCACTGGACGAGCACAACTGTGTGCTGTGGGCTGGTGGTGGTCAGTCAGTCGCAAAGGTGTTGATGGGAACAGAACGGGGATCTCGCTCCAAAGTGTGTGATCCTGTGACCCGGGTTTGGGGAGAATGCCCCTAGTGTTAGCAATAGATTTCCCGTGACGTAGAAGTAAGAAGTTCTGTCTTCCCATGAATGGAAGTAAGTATTTGCCTGTGGTCTTTCCTGCTCCTCAGCAATGATGTGCCTGTGTACCAAGCCACGCCTTAGTTCATTCTCTTGCTAACTGGTTTCCTTGTTGTTCTCTTGCAACTCGCCTCCAGAATATTTTAACCTTTCACACTCTTCTTTAACAGAGCCGCAAAAGCTCAGCAAATGGGGCTGTTTAAAACCGAGATTGTTCCAGTGAAGACCGCTGTTCTGGATGATCAGGGCAACGAAAAAACAATCACCGTGCACCAAGATGAAGGGATTAGGCCCTCCACGACCCTGGAAGGCTTGGCGAAGCTGAAGCCTGCCTTCAAAGAGGACGGTAGCACTACAGCAGGTCAGCGCTCTTGTTGAATTTGTGTTGTTCCTGTGGTTTTCCTGCCTTGTAATAGAACAGGCTTAGACACAAAAGGTGTTAATAAATAGATCTCTTCCAACAGGTAATGCCAGCCAGGTCAGTGATGGAGCAGCCGCTGTTCTCCTGGCAAAACGCTCAAAAGCAGCACAACTGGGACTCCCAGTCCTGGGGGTGCTCAGGTCCTTTGCGGTGGTTGGGGTCCCACCCGATGTTATGGGCATAGGACCAGCCTACGCAATCCCTGTAGCTGTGGAGAAGGCGGGTAAGAACCATTTGTCATTCCTACAGTGTTTGGCACCAGGCAGATCAGACTCTCTGGGCTGAGACTTAAGGTAACGTTACTGCAGCATGTGCAGCTATAAACCATAGGAACAGTGAACTTAAATTCAAAACTTTAGAAGAGATCCTCGCTGGGATCTTGTGCTCATGTATAAATTGTCACTCGCTCGCCTTTGAGAAGCTCAGGATTAAATTCCTGCGCAGCCTCAGCCTTAGTTAACGTGTGGCGAGTGATTCAGTGTTCATTTAGTGCCTTTTTCTCTTCCTTCATATGACCAGTGTGTGTGGGGGGGTGGGGTTTCTGTTTGTTTTGGGGTTTTTTTTCTTCACAATTTTGGCATCTGACGAGTGGAACAGGCTTTCCTCGGGGATCTTATCATACTCATCAGGTTAAATAGCTTTTACAGCTGATGATCGTTGTGTCCACCATCGTTACTGTGGTCGCATGCTCGCCTGGAGTTCTGTCTTTCAGTTTTGAAATACCCTTCAATCTTTAATCCCTCTGCAAAGAATTCACATTTAATCTAAGGAAACTTGCAAACTCTGTGACCCAGTACCATGAACTGTGACGTTCTGCAGTCTTTAGATGTTGTTGTACATAAACGTGTGTACGAGTGACGATGCCCCCCATGGGGCCAAGGTGCCCCTCTTTGTGGTGTTAGTGGAGTAGAACTCGAATTCGTGAAGGGAGGCTGTGAGTGAATTATTGTCTGGTATAGTCATAAGGCAAAAATATCTGCTTTTAAATCCTGACTTTTCTGAACCATAGGTCTGACTCTGAATGACATTGATATATATGAAATCAATGAAGCCTTTGCCAGCCAGGTGAGTGATCGTCCTGCTGCACTGGGAGCTGCCTCTATTTCAGCTTGGTCTCCAAACTGAGATTTGAACTTGTTCCACATATGGCTTCTTCAGCCAAATGTTAATAACGTGCGCAGACTGGTTTCCCTTTCCTTCAAATAAAAATAAGCAGGGCATTGCTTATGCCCCTTAATACAAAAAAACCCCAAACCAAACCCAAATATCCCTCCCCCCAAAAAAACCCCTCCAAAAAAGCCCTAGAAAAATATGTCCGCCAATAAGAATGTAGTCATTACTACTGTATTCTCATACCAGTTTGCAAAATCTGTTTCACAAGGGTGGTGTCAGTGCGAATGTGTTGCACTCATTAACTGGGAGGCCCTTAACAAAAGGTAGAAACTTCACTGCCGTGTCTTCCACAAATCTACAACATGTACGTGGGCTCAGTTTGAGACGAAGTTGATGGGCTTAGCTCACTTCTGTGCACTTTGCATTCGTAACGTGGTTCCTGGGAAAGATGGTGTAGCCGCCGTCGGGCCTCTCAGTACTGACTGCTTAATACTTCAAGAGCAGCTGGCACAATGATGTGGAGTTTGCATAATGACAACCATAGCTGAGCTGAATTAATTTTGAGCACAAATCTTCTGAAGCCCCTAGAGCTGCTGGTTTGCTGTCCCTCTTTATATACGGATGAGATCACCGGTCTCCTCTGCAGTCCTCTTGGCTCTCTGTCGCAGGAGAGCTGGGAACTAACGGAGGCGACTGCATCTCCATGAAACCGTTCCCTCTGTCTTTCCAGGCTGTGTACTGTGTTGAAAAGCTGGGCATTCCCATGGAGAAGGTCAACCCCCTGGGAGGAGCAATAGCACTGGGGCACCCACTGGGCTGTACTGGTGCTCGTCAAGTTGTCACTTTGCTCAATGAATTGAAGCGCAGAGGGAAAAGGTGAGCACTGAGAACAGCATTAGCCTTAATTTCATTGCTTTTCCACAAATCCTGCTGCACGTCATCGGACTGTCCAGATTTTTCTTGAACTTGTACGTAGCAAAGCCAGGGGAAGGGCAGTGGTAGGAGGTGGGAAAGGAAGAGTTTCTTCCTCAGCTCCTCTGAATCAAAGCAGTTCCCCTCGCGCAGCCTCACTGCTTGATGGCTGAGGCGGGTGGTGAAGGAGCTTGCTCCTGGTGCGCTGCTCCTCTCCAGAAAACGCGTGTCCGCGTGCTCTGCAAACAGCACCCGCCAGGACTGCGGGGCCTCAGGACCTGCTCCGGCGCTAGAAACTCTTGCTGACACAGGAGAGCAGTGGGTAGCTCGAATTTATTGTATTTGGGTTTTTTTCCCCAGATGATCTAAACCAGATCTGTCTTAATTCCATGTGTTCCTTCATTTCAGAGCGTACGGCGTGGTGTCGATGTGCATGGGGACCGGCATGGGCGCCGCAGCAGTATTTGAGTACCCAGGGAACTGAGCTCCGGTCTCCTGAGGAAACAACGCAACAGCTAATTCTCTGCCTTCTCTAGTAGTAGCAAATTATTTGCACTGTGAAATCAAGTCGATTCAGGGACTGGTTACAAATTTTAGGCACAAATTATGAAGCAGAATAAACTGTACAGATCTACAGAGCAGGTTGGGGAAAATGCAAAACTGGCAAATGGCATCCCGACGTGAAATTAGTTCAGCTGAAATTCAACGACAGGCCCTTGCGTGGTGATCGTGAATGAGTATGTCTAATCCCATCGATCCCTTTATTCTGTGAATATTACCAGAGCGAAGTAGTTTATGGTACAGTATTTTTGTATGACAAATTGTCTAAAACGGTTGCTCAAAACAAAAACAACGGTGCGCACAAAAAGGCTTTTCCAGGGTTTTTTCTTAAAAGATGTCACCATCTTGCAAGAAGTCTGGAACAGCTTGTTTGGAAAGCAGGGCAAGGACTTACCCTCGTGTCCTTTGCGACCGCATCTGTCCTGGCCAGGTCACGAGTTGGCTGTGTCCCGTCCCAGGTTGTCCCTGCGCTGGAGGATGCGCTTTAGCTTTCTGCTTTCAGCCGCGCTCCTGCGAATGGGGGCAAGCGGAAGGACTGGAATGTAGCCTACACAGGAGGGAACAAACTGCTGAGGTGCCGGAATAGAAAGGTTTTGATGAAGCAGGAATTTGAGCTTGGCCATTCATTTGTAATGATCAGCTTGTGTGACTCTTGGAGGACAAGCTTACTTAATAATATTTAATGATATTTACTTACCTAGCATAAACCAGATTTCAGCATTACTTGTACTGCAAGCACTACATCAGCAAAATGTATGTGACATCTGGTAAAGCTGTCCCTTCTCTGTTCTTCCTCTCGTGAGCGGAAAGATCACTGAACCTCAGAGCTAACGGCTTGAAAAAGCAGCGTGCTCATCGTCTTTGACGTGTTAGAGAAGTTTAAATTTGTACCGCAGGCTGCAGTTCTTTGTCCTGGCTTTTGTTTGTGCACTTAGTAATGCGGTTGGGTTCTTGCATGATACTTGTTTTCGTTTTCTGTGATGGTGGTTAGTTGAAGGTCATGATTAGCTGGAGCTATGTGAGACATTCTCACACTTGATATTCTCTCCCTCCTCCCTACACACGCTGCCTTTAACAAAAAGCTTTTATATGATGGGAGTGGAAAACGTAGCAGGCTCAGAAGTGGGAATTTCGGTGACCTTTAGCTAAAGTAATAGAACATGTAAAGAGGAGCGTGAGTAAATGGGAACCATGTGGGGGAGTGTCGTGGTTTAACCCGGCTGGCAACTCAGCACCACGCAGCCGCTCGCTCACTCCCCCCCCTCCCTCTGTGGGATGGGGGAGAGAATAGGAGAAAAGAAAAAAAAGTAAGACCCGTGGGTTGAGATAGAGACAGTTTAATAAGAGAGAAGAATAACAATAGTAGTAATAATAATAATAGTAAGAGAAGATACAGAATATATATAACACAAGTGATGCACAATGCAATTGCTCACCACTGCTAGCTGTGCTGTACTCCCAGCTTGTTATGCACCTGGGCAAGCAGGAGAAGCTCAAAAAGTCCTTGAGTAGTCTGAGCACTACTTGGCAACAGCTGAAAACATCAGTGTGTTATCAACATCCTTCTGGTACTAAATCCAAAACACAGCACTATGCTAGCTACTATGAAGAAAATTAACTCTATCCCAGCCGAAACCAGGACAGGGAGAAGCATTAAAAGGAAGAAGGGTTCCTCCCTCTGTGGCTGAAGGGGATGTTCTCAGTACCCAAGCATGACGAAACGTGCAGGTTGGTCCTTTTCCCAGGAGTCCAGGGAAAGTTGGCTCTTCCCCTTTTCATGTCAGGCACCGAGACGACAGCCGGAGGAACGCTGGCCTCGTCGCTAATTCTTGCTTTTATTATGTGTCAGTGTCCATGTTAACGTCAAACAAACAAACGAGGCAAAGCAAAAGCTGCTTTTTGAGGTCTTTAATTGTAATGCGAGGCTTATGGTGACATGCAAAGGGGTCTGGCCTACCTGTTACCGTAGCTGCTTTGCAGTTTAGAATGATTATTTTGCAGAGCCTTGTTCTTCGGGTAATACTAAGCTTATCACAGCAATAAAACTAATAGCACAGAATGAGATTATGACTGTTTTCCTCCTAACTTAAAATCGCTCAGTCTGCTAAACTTCCAGTCCACAGTAAAACAACTGAAGTAAATGAAAATACGGGCTGAGTGGGTGGTACCTCTGCATCCAACCCCGTATTTGACACGTCCCGCATTGTCTTGCTTAAATGAAACACAGGTCTTCGTACTTCCCCTCGCATGTTCCTCGCCCCCTGAGCTGTACCTTGCAAGGCTTCTCTCCCAGCATTCCCGTAATGGTCACAACCGCTGCGTATTCAGTGTCGCTCCTAAAAAACGCAGAGCAAAAAGTTCAGTTACAGGCAGATGCAATTCTGTGTTTAAGGGCGAGATTAGTTACTTTGCGGAGGAATAAGGGGAGAACGGTGCCCTAGGACCAACTGCTCCTCGTCACAAGCGCTGCTCTGAGGTTAGTGTCCAGGCTGCGGCGGCCACCTCACTGCTGTGTCATGTCCCACAGCTACCTGGAGGGTGGTTGAAAAGAACGGGCCAGTCTGCACCTGAAGACGTGGGATTATTAACTTTGTATTTGAAAGAAGAACGTGAGTATTAAATAAGTAAGTAAAATGAAGCTCTGCTGGGGGCGGATGTTTGGGAGCAAATGCCTGCAGTTCCTTGATGGGAAAACTCATCCCCGTGGCAGGGTTTGAAACAGAAAAAGTTTCTTGTCGCCTCCGCTAAGACAAGGGGCAGTCAGCGGAGCCCAGGTTGCAAATGCACATCAGAAAGCCTACAGCAAGCGCGGTTCTGCGCTCAGCGGCAGGCTTGCGGCGTGGTTCACCTAAGGCTGGCGCCACCCAGCCCTCCCGAGACTTCATCTGCAGGACTCCTCCGCGCTGCTGTGAAGGCCTGAGGCGAGAGCCTGTTCTGCCAGACAACTTCTGGGTTTTTTTCCCTTCTCATACAAAATTCCCCTGCAGGAAAACCACTGCATTAGGGAGGTGAATTATTAAAAACCAGCTCACACCTTGCGTATGGCTATTTTCTAATGCCACGCTGGTCCTGAGCTCTGCTGGGTTAGGAGTTCTTCGTCGACCCGAACAGACGAGCTGGCTGCTGTTCAGCGACGTCTTCGCTTTCAGGCGCGCTGAGCAGCGTGCCGGCTGTCGGACAAAAAGCTGCGCTTCAGGCGTATTCACAAGCACTCCAGAAAAACTGAGCCAGTCAGGAGCCTGGGGAGGCCTCTGCTCCGCCTCGCTGCACCAAGCAGCTGCTCCAGGCTCCCTCCCGCTGCGATTTCAGCGGCTCCAGTGATGGAGATCTCACGGCGCCTTTGGGGAGATGGAAGTTACGACGCTGCCTCGTGTCACCTCCAGTTTGCTTCTTGAAACTTCCCTGTCAGCAGGGTTCAGACTTCACCAAAATCACTGGGCTGGACTTACCTGTCTGAAACTTTCTGCCACCACCTGGTAACTTCCAAGAAAATAATTTGTAATGGAAGCTGAATTTTCCTACAGGAGTTGCATCTCTAATTAGAGCCAAGAAATTAAAGGCTTTGGGTCACTGCCTCTGCCATTCACAAGTACTCGCTAGCCTCAACAAAAGGTTGTGATAAGGTCTCCATAAATATTAGAGCAATATTAGGTGTTTATAGAACAAAGAAAATAATTTCCATCTGCTCTCTTCTATTCTTTGCTGTCATTCGCCCACAGCTCACATGATCTTTGTTGTGTAGAAAATATTTGGACTAGAGGCAACAAAAATACATTGATTTTTGGTTTTTTTCCTTTTTCACCAAATATCAACATGACTTTGACACTGAACGTTGCACCAGGCCAGGCAAGGGTAACACAACTGCATCGCTGCATTAGAACAGCATTTTGCTCTTTTGCTTCATCAGGAGGTGCTTGACTGCACGTAGGGAAGTAAAGGACTTCAAAAAGTTACCCTTAGAGAGAAGCCACATAAACGATAACGAAGGATCCCTGACTGCAAAAGATACTGCGCTTTCCTGCGTGACAGCCAGATGCTTTACTGGAATGCTGAGATACTCCAGCCACGTTTCTCCCTCTTTCCTAATAAAGTGCTGGATGCATGGAGGACTCAACTGTCGTATCGACCCCTGTGTTGATTTTCAGGCCTGACGTTTGCCCTCTGTTGAAGACATTGCCCGACAGAGAGGGATTTGGTCGGGGGGTGCATAGCCCGTGTGTCATGCCAACTGTTGGAACAGCACCGTTTCAGGTGGGTAAATCTAAAGTCTGAAATTCCGGGTGCCAATTCCAAAAGGAACCTCATATATGGGAGCAGCGTAGGGAACATGGTTATATGGAAAAAGTACCAGCTGGAAGCCCAGGACTGGCAAGTGTTAGAAGCAAAACGAGCAGCCTGGTAACACAAGAACGGAGCAGAGTTGCTCTCTGCTGTCAGTGACTACTCACACCGTAAGTCTGGGCTCGACAGGGAATACCAGCGAGATGTCAGTCCCGTTAACCATACCTTGCGGTAAAGCTGATCTGCAAAATCTCTTTGGTCGGTCGGTCCCCTTCACGTGCCGCCAAAATGCCATTAGTAGGGGAGACAGAAAATACTTGCAGGCCGTTACACCTTTCCTGTTCATCTGCAGTGAAGGGAGCAAGCATCAAACAAAGCGATGTATAAGTTTGTACAGCACGTAGCACTCTAAACAACGTGCCTCCTTGCCAGCCAACTAATAAATCGGCCGCAATCAGGTCTCCCCGTAGCCTCCTTTTCTCCAGACTGAAATAATAAATAATAAATAATAAATAATGTCTTGCGCTGCCAGAGCCTTGTGGCCAGTTTCTGCCTTCATCCTCTCACCAAGGGGAGTGATCAATGCCCTCCCGTCAAAGTAATAAGGCCCCGATCTTCTTTCCTCTGAAGCCCACCTGTTGCTCACATTAAGCACAAGCTCAAACCAAACTCGGGAGGAGCTACTGCTTCTTGTTCCCTCTTAGGATTGTGAGCGAGCAAAGCACGTCCACTACTTGCGAGGGTTGTGATTCAATCTTTTGGTTAAATCTGGAGTAACTGCTGAAATCAGCAGAGAGACACTGATGTCAAAAAGAAAAAAAAAAAAAAAAAAGAAGTCTACATAAGTGAGAACAGGAACATACCTCATGTTTGCAGCCAACCTCATCATATATTGGCTATATATTGAGTGAGTACATGCAAGACACTGAAGAGTGGAACTATATCATAAGAACATTCAATTGCAAAACCAGAATACCCAGCAAAGCAGTCCAGTAACTTCTACAGCCACTCCTGTTACACAGAAAGACGTGTTCAGTCTTGGTCTGTGCAACAAAGCAGGTCTTGAAATCAACCATGTCGCAAGAGAGCTCCAGAACTGGAACAGCGAGGTATGCAGTCACTGGGACCAGCTGCAAAACAGAGGAAAGGGAGATGAGAAAAAAAAAAAAAATCACTTTATTTTTGTAGAGCTTTAATATCTGCTACAGCTGGAGCATTCTTAACCTCAAGCACTGAATCAAGAGTAGCTGTTCTGTGTTCTTTCGTAATACAGTCAGTTCCCCATTCTGAGTGAATTAAGTTGTTGCTTGTTTTAACTGGTTTGGGATAGGTTTTTAAACCAGACAGTGTGGTCCTAATGAAGTAACACGGATTGAACACTCTCATTTGTTGTTAGGGCTTTCTGTGGAGATGCAGACATTACAGCATCCCGTCGTCCCTTAGGACCGTATATGGCCCACTGTGAGTCATTCGATTTGTGCAGATTGCGCAAGATTATTATTAAATTGACTATCTTAGATATGTTGCTCAGCTCTTACACAGATCAGTCCTCAGAAATACCTGCTAGGAAAAAAAAAAAAATATGCCTGCAGTGTACTGGAACTGTGGAAGACTTGGGGGGGGTTTACAGCTTTCCATCTGGAAGAGATTGGTCTTTAAATGTGCGTGGGCTGTGACCACACCACATGAGCTAGACAGACTCAGGAGACTTTCAAGAAGCACTGGGGTGCTGCAGGAGGCGATGCTGGGTGACTCAGGCGCTGGCATGTTGGCTGAGACAGTCCTGACCCCGCGTCTCAGACGGATGCTGAGAGTCATACTGTGATTGGGGTGTTCTGCCCTCCGAGTGAGCCGTACCATCCCGGCTGTCGTGCTGTGCAAAGAGCTGGGGTACGAACACCAGGGTGCTGACCCAACACCGCGCTGTCCACCTGAGAGTCACCTGCAGTCTGAACAGAGCCATCTC